AGCGGCGGTGGGCGCGGCGAGGGCGGAGGCAGCGGAGGCGCGGGAGAGGGCCGCGGCGGCGATGCGCGACCGCGACGCCACCGCCGCGCGCGCGGCATCCGTCGAGCGCGGCGCCGCCGAGGCCATCGCTGCCACCGAGGCGGAGGCGGCGGCGGCGGTCGAGGCGGCCAATGCCGACAAGGCGGCGGCCGTGGCGGCGGCGGGCGCGTCGGAGGCGGCGGCGGCGGCGGAGGCGGCGGAAGCGCGAGAGGGTCGGGATGCGGCCGCTGCGCGCGCCGCCGCCGCAGAGGCCAAGGCGCCGGTGGCCGCTGTGCTTTCTTGCTCACCGCCCGACACACACACCATCACTCGATCACGCATAGCCGGCGTCCACCAGCCCCGGGCACTCTTAAGCACACACACACGCACACACACAACGCGTGTGCCGGCTCCGCCTGCTCCCCGCGTGCGCCAAACCCCAACCACATCAAGAGGCGACCCCGCCATGACCCGCCATGCCCCGCCATGACCCGCCATGACCCGCCATGACCCGCCATGACCCGCCATGACCCGCCATGCCCCGCCATGCCCCGCCATGACCCGCCATGACCCGCCATGCCCCGCCATGCCCCGCCATGACCCGCCATGACCCGCCATGACCCGCCATGACCCGCCATGCCCCGCCATGACCCGCCATGACCCGCCATGACCCGCCATGCCCCGCCATGACCCGCCATGCCCCGCCATGACCCGCCATGACCCGCCATGCCCCGCCATGCCCCGCCATGACCCGCCATGCCCCGCCATGACCCGCCATGCCCCGCCATGACCCGCCATGACCCGCCATGCCCCGCCATGACCCGCCATGACCCGCCATGACACGCCATGACACGCCATGACACGCCATGACCCGCCATGACCCGCCATGACACGCCATGCCCCGCCATGCCCCGCCATGCCCCGCCATGCCCCGCCATGCCCCGCCATGACCCGCCATGACCCGCCATGACCCGCCATGACCCGCCATGCCCCGCCATGACCCGCCATGACCCGCCATGACCCGCCATGACCCGCCATGCCCCGCCATGCCCCGCCATGCCCCGCCATGACCCGCCATGACCCGCCATGCCCCGCCATGCCCCGCCATGACCCGAGGGGGCCCGAGATGACCCGAGGTGACCCGAGAGGGCCCGAGAGGACCCGAGGTCGCCCGAGAGGACCCTTGCTGATGGCGACGTTCGCCCCACCTCACCTCACCTCCGTCTCCGCTAAGGCGGCCGAGGCGTTGGGCGTCGCGAGCGCGGCGGAGCAGGCGGCGGCCAAGGAGGCGGCGGCGGCGGCGGAGGCGGAGGCGAGGGCAGAGGCCGAGGCGGCGGCGGCGGCGGAGGCTCAGGCGAGGGCGGCGGAGGCGGCGGCGGAGGCGGAGAGCGCGACGGCGACGGCGGCGGCGGAGGCGGAGGCGGCGGAGGCGGCGAGGGCGGATCGGGAGGCGGCGGTGGCGGCGGCGGAGAAGGAGGTCGCTGCGGCGCTCGAGGCGCGCGCGGCGGAGAAGGAGCGAGCGGCGGCGGCGGAGGAGCGCGCCAAGGGCGTGTCGATCGCGCTGGACAAGACGGAGGCGCGGCTGGCGGAGGCGCAGGCGGAGCTCGAGGAGGGGATCAAGTACGCGTCCGAGCGGGTGGGCGAGCTGGACGACGCGCTCGAGTTTGCGCAGGACAACTTGCGCCGCAAGGAGAGGGAGCTGGCGGAGCAGGCGGACGCGGCGGCGCGGGCGGAGAAGGAGGCGGCCAAGGCGCGCGCGCAGGCCGAGTACGACGCGGCGGTGGCGGCGAGGGAGGCGGCCGAGGCGAAGGCGATCGCGGAGCTCGAAGCGAAGGCAGCGGCGATCGCCAAGGCCGAGAAGGCGGCGTCGCGCGCCTTCTGGATAAGACAATTCGAGGACATGTCTCGCACACGTCACTGGGGCGAGCTCTGTAGGCGGCTGCGCTGGAGGCGGCAGGCGAGGAGGTGGCGAGGGCGCGCGAGGCGACCGAGGCGTCCACGCGGCGGGCGGTGGCGGCGGAGCAGGAGGCGGCCAGGTCTTCGGTGGCTCTAGACGAGACGTCGCGGCTGCTCGCCGCTACGCAGGCGGAGGCGGAGGCGGCGGCCGCCGCAAGGGAGGAGAAGGAGGCGGCGGCGCGGGCAGCGCAGGCGGAGGGACACACGCGCGCGCCGCCCTCTTTCCCACCCCTCGCGCTCAAGCGGCGCATTCTTTTCGCGACTCAGGCCGAGGCCACCCGCGCCCTCTCGGCTCGCGACGCGTCATCGGCGCGTGCGCGCAGGGCGGAGGCGGCGGCGGC